AACAGAACATCCATCTTGGATGACCTTTACAGCAACCAGAGACCAAGTAATTTTTTAGTTTTTTTTTTTTCAGTGCAAACACATTTATACAAGGCAGTCTTGGCTGCAAAACTCCCTTCTAGCATACAGTAAGTCCCACTTGCATTTATTAACTCTTTTAAACCTAATGCAACAGCCACATTGAGTCACTTACAGAAAATCACCTGCAGAATTAGGATCCCTTTAGCTTAAGTCTCCTCCACGTATACAAGTAACATCTGTGCCAATTACTCCGAGGGCCCTACCAGACCTTTCACACTTACGGGTGGGTATCCTTTGGGTGGCTCTAAGCACTGCACCACGCGAGGGCATCGCGCTGCACTGAAAAACTGCCCTTCCCAGGTGCAAAGCAGGTTCCTGCACCCAGGCTGGGGCAAGGGGCTGCTGACTGCGCATTTCACTAGGGGTTCAACCTGCGCTGGATTTCCAAATCCAGCCGCATGCATGTGGCCTTCTGCTCCTTCTTGGTATTTAGTATTTCGAGGGGAGGAACACAGAAATCCTCAGCTCAGAATAGAGCGTCAAAGGAGTTAGTGACAGATTCTGATCTCTGTTAGAGCCGTGTAAAATCAGGGGAGTTTCGTCAGATTTACACCCACGTAACTGAAATCAAAATTTAGAGGGCTGCCTTAAAGGAAGTGTGATAGTCCCGTTTCTTCTAGCACCAGCTTGGCTTTAGTTGGGTCCACTGTATGCAGCAGAACATTTCTGATGCATGAACCACATACTTTATTTATGTTGGGGGGGGAACTTTTAGATATATACTTTTTTTTCTTAAAGAATTATGTAAAAAATAGAACATTTCTCTCTAATACTGTACAGCTTTCTTCAGAAGAGCAAAGAGAATTGTAAACTGTGGGTGTGACACCAGATTAAAAGAGTGCTATCCGCTTACTCAGCACAACAATTTGAGCAATCACGTTGGGAAAAGTTCTGTGAAATGTATTTGAAAAACAAATTTTTAATTAACCGTTCTGAAAACCACCGCTGGCAGTACTCATATGACCGAAAACCAAATGTTTCTTGGCACTGCTACTGGAAAGAGTCTGGGCCGGACTGCAAACTAGTTTCTCCCCTGCGACGCAAATTTAATGCATCAAAAGAATAACTGTGAATTATAAACATAAAACACTTTGTTACCCGTTAGACTTATTCTAATGACTTTTAAAGAGAAAGAAAGAAACTGGTGAGTATATTAACTCACAGACTCTTGGCCTTAGTTTTTCTTTTTTCAGAGTGCCCTGACATAAAATGGGGACAGTGAAACGTGCCGACTTCACAGGCTGGTGAGGCTTAACTGGTAACGCCTGAAGTGCTTCAAGGCTCCCAGGGAGGAAGGCTTGACTTAAGTGCAAAATATTATCTGCATTTATGGTGGCCTGCGAATACTGGTTTGCTTGTTCCCTTTTATAAAAATGACTACTGCTAACCACCACTTAGGCCATGGTTTTCATTAAAAAATTTGTTTCCCAATACATTTTACGTTATAAAAGTGGAGCAAACAGTGTTTTTTGTATTATGGACGTTTTACAGTGGTGCAAGGAGTCAAATGGATAATGATTTCTTATGATTTTTTAACTGAAATATTCGTACAGCAAAATTAGCTCAAAAGATGATTATTTATCAGCCTGCAATCAGGATTACGGTACTGGGATTGCTGAAAGAGGTGTTCATAAATCCAGATTTGTATATAAATGTGATCTGCTTAGGTTCAACTGCCACTTTCTTCCTTTGGTTTTTGGAAAAAAAAAATTCTTTTTTTCTCTCTTTAAAGGTGGCTGTTGCAACTGGCTACTTTTCAAAAGCCCGTTTCGTTTTTACTGGAAACTCGCCCGCTTTCTCCGAACAACAGACGCAAACCTTGAGTCGGGACCCTAATACTGCTCCCAGGGAAGTCAATTTAAAGGCTGCTGGCGATTTCTATAGGAGCAAGTGTTTCAATGCACAGTTTAGAAAACGGTGTGTATCACTGAAGCAAGAGCTGCTTTAAAATCCAGTACACTCTGCTTTAGCCTGTTAAGAGAAACTCTGACCTGATATGTTGGCAAAAACGGGAGGCAGAGCAGGGCCCGAAGTATTTGAAGGCTGCCAAGAAAATACCCAGTGTCTTCTGTTAAACCTCAAACTGTCAATCATATTTCACAGACTGTAGATGTTCCCAATTTGCTAAAGTACAAGTACATTTTCAAGTTATACCAGGCAGAAATGATAGCAGTTACTGGGGAGAGGATCGAAGCTTTCAGCCTCCCTTTCACTTTTAACCAAATTATGTGGCCTTGTCAAAATTGCAAGTGATCCATCTAAAAGCCAGATTTTTAATATAGCAAAAGGAAATTGTGGCAATGGAAACATGATGACTTCATATGCAAGCATCGACACACAAGAGAATGCCATGACCTAATGCTTCAAAGTTTTTAACCTTGCTTTTCTACAATACACTTTTTATGTTGCTGCATTTCATCAAATTCATGGAGGTAGTTATATGTGTAAAAAAAATTACCATAAAAGTAACATGTTGTATTATAATAATACATATTAAGTGTGCAAAATGCCGACAGATTTGTGTTGACCCTTTACAGCTGAACACAACACAGATTCAACCTAATCTAATAATTGAACCTAATTCTGTAAACCTTTAAATTGATACATTAGAAGAAGAATGATAGATAAGCAACCACATAATACAAGGCTATGATTTCATCAAAGGATTAGGGTGACATAAAGCACTCAAGCTCCACTCTCGTGGTTTTGTTACCAGAACCTCAAGATGGAATTTCCTTATATTCCATTATTGATTTAAAAGAAAATAAAATTAAAGATTAGAACGTTTCTATTTGAAACTTCTGTTTACATTCCATATTCCAAGAGTCACATTAATATTGGTACAATGCCATGTCAACATTAATATGACATTTGTGTTGTCTGCTGGTCTATGGGAACTTTAGGAAATAACATACTATACAGCTTGTAGGTATATATTATCATGTTTTGTTGTAATGGTATCTTCTACACAACCAGCTGCCTGCATAAACTCTGATCAGTTTATGACAAACAAACATTTCCCCGAAAGGTAAAATTTGTTTTTGCTGTTCACATTTCAATACTGCCATTAGTACTTCAGATCATCAGCTATAAATTAAGATAGTTTTGACGTTTTTATTTACTGAATTGATACATACTACTGTCAGAGCTTGTCTCAGAAACAAAATCACAGTCAGCCACTGCATAGTATATGACAATTCCCCACAAAAACTCTGAATCTACAGTTCGCATGTAATAAGTACTGCTGGAGTTACATATCGAACAATAAGATGCGTCATGCAAAGCATTCTATGGTAATTAGAGCACATCTTGGAAGGTATGATAAGGCAGAAGGCTGAAGGCCAAGTGACTTTGATAACCAACCAAAAGCACAATAATTTCCTTTATGTGCACTGAAAGGTCTTATTGCTCCTATGAAATGGAATTTATACATTGAAAACAAGTAAACCAGACCTCTGCATTTACTGGGTATGAAATATGTTCTTGACAAAATTGGAAAGCGAGTGTGTCCAGAGTTAGAAAGTCGTTTTTTAAGTAAATGAACTGTATCCAACTGTGCAACGTAAGGCCGAATCTTCGGTAAAGCCTTCTGATGACAATACAGAATGTGAGTGAAGCTCAAATGATTTATACAAAGCAGTACATGTCACCAGAACCTGATGAAAATACTGCCTTTTAATATGTACAGTTGGGCTTAATACCTGTGTATTACCAAGAGCTAGACAATGTAAATGTCCCTCTTATATTCAACAATTTGGAATGCTGAGTGTTTTAATACCTTTGCTATTCTTCCACCAACTCGACTGTTCTCATAAAAAATAAATATATAGTTAATTTTGAAGTCACTTTGTTGCATTATCAAATTGCATGAGTAAGAGAGCAGAATGTGACCCTATACCTAAAAATTACTCTTGGAGTTTAACTATTCTTAGAAGTTACTCTGCAGTAACTAGCATATCATTAATCACTTTGGAGTAACAGTTTAGGGGAGAATAATTAGGATATACTATACCTACAGAATTCAGATTTCTACTGCCAACCATATGGACACATTTAATTTCCCAAAACTAGACGTGTCCATGAAATGCTAAATTGCAAATAACATCCACTGTATAGAAAGGCCAGAAGTTTATAATTCTCTAGATTTTGTTCTCTGATAATCACTACAATGTATGCTATTTTCAATAGCCTAATTTAGGCACTCTATTTAAAAAGCTACATAAAATAGATTTATGTCCTTCCACTAGAAAGAAATAATTTCTTCAGGCCATACTTGTCATTTATATCATAAAGAATATTTTTGTTCAAAGAAATTAGTTATTTTGATTCTTATATTAATGGCAAGCTGCAATACCAAAGTGACACAAGAATGAGATCGTCTCTTTTAAATATTTGATTTATACTAAAGATATTTGTTATATTTTGCGTCACTTTGTGCTGTGGCTCCACGACACTTTAACTCTCCCTTCCCTCCCCTTTCCCCCTTTCTGCAAAGGCCTTCCTCCTCCTCCTCCTCATTTGCCACTATGAAAGGTCAAGTAGCAAGCTGTGGGTAAGGAAACATCTCTCAGACTATTGAGACACAAAAAGGAAACCAGCCTCCCTCCCCACCCTACATACTTAAAAAACAAAAAACAAGAACCACAACCTCCTTTTACTCCCTTATACGGGTATTTGCAAAATTGTGTCACAAAACCACACAGTGAAAATGACTGATTGGTATTCATAATTCACAGATAGAGCTGAGGTCATCACTTGTCATGTTTGGCATTGTTTTCCTCAAAGTGATCCTGGCTGGCTACTTTCAGCAGTGGCTCAGTTTTCCAAGTAAAAAACGATCAACTCTGCAGCAGAGCTTAGCCTCTGACCGGGGGCATCACACATCTGTGGCATTTTTTTTTCTTTTTTTTTTCTTTTTTTTTTTTTTTTTGAAGTTGGCAACTGCATGGACATTGAAAATGCAGATTACACTTACAGTGTCTAGACTTTCATATATGTGCTCAGTTACAATTAAGTGAAGCAAAAAGTGTACATATTATCCCTACTGCTATTCTGTTGCTACAGAGCCGCAAACGTGAAAAGCAATACCTTGAAATAAAGATTTCTTTGTTGCTCCTAGTCTACATAGCAGCACAGCTCAAGTAAGCACTCAAACTGTGGTCGAGATGCTTTTTTCCCCCAAAGATGTAAACATCAGTCCCAGTGTCGTAAACTTTGCGGTATAGGACGAGACCGGAGGCGTGAGGCAGCGCGGCCCTCAGACACTAGTGACGGAGGCTTGCAGGCAGCTGGCCGGTTTCTGCAGCTTCTCGGCCTCGCTCGGCGGCGCCTCGCTGCTCGCGCGGAAGGTGAACGCTGGCCCCGCGCCGCCGTGCGCCGGGCTCAGAGCCGGGTTCTGCCGCCGGTTGCTTTCAACAATACTCGAAGTGTTGGATGCCAGGCTCTCGCGAGTACTAGAACGGAAGAGAAAGCACACGCTCATACACCACGTACCTACGCATCTACACCAGGCAGGAAAGGAGAACGGGGTGTTTTGTAACGGGCTTCTCGTGCTCTACGCAAAGCCACAGCACGGACCCATTCTGATGATTCACACACGCTCCTCCACAGCGGCTTGCAGGGTACTCGGCAGTCACAGGCCCCACAGGCACAGCACCGAGCCTGTCGCACACGGGCTGCACGACTGAACCAGTACCAGGCATCTGGACCTTTCACTCGAGGAAATGGCTTCCATCTTGCATGTGCAGCGCATTAATTTCCTTCCTGGCTGGTGCATTTTAGCACAAAGTAATTTCATCAAATCAGCTCTGTGACTAGGCAGAGCTGGGAGAATTACTGCATAACAAGGAGAATCACTGCATAACGCAGCTTCCTCTGTCTCCGCTTCTACCCGTGCCTTCGTATTCAAAGTGTTTATTAACTGAAAATGCTACTTTACAATAAATCCACAGTGCTTCTGAATACAACGCTTCAATTTTGTCTTGCAGCTGAGATATGAATTTACGAGATGGTGATAAATCTTAACTCCCTGATCTGTGATGATGCTCTAAGCAAGCACCAGTGCTATTATTTCATCCATATAATGGACAAAGTTCCTTTAGTTCTACCACACTGCTTATCCATGGCAGTGACTGCATGCTTTGTATTTTTAAAAAATAACCTTATAAGAGCATATCTAATTATGAACACAGACGAGCACACATTTTAGCCCACAGCTTTTAAGAAAACCTCAGTCTATAAATGATAGGGCTAGTTTTACCACTATTGTTTGGGTTCTCTTTCCACTTTTTCATTTTTTTATCTCTAAACAATGTATTTGCACGAAGAGAGATTTGTTTCCAAAGAGACACGTGGCTCCTAGTTAAGTATCCTTCATCTACACCATTACTGCTTTGCAAGATGACAGGGTAACTTGCTATGGAGATGTTTACAGAATACACTTGGAGGCCTGAACTGGTGTAAAAGAAGCACTAAAAATAGAGATACTAATGACAGAACTTCATAGTTGATTTAAAAATCTACCTAAATTTGCCTGCTGCTGAGAGGGGTCGCTCCTGTCTGCCTTGGGTGGATGTTACCTGCATCTCCTGCTGCTTCGCTGGTGCCGGCGCTTAGGGAGCCTCTCAGCCAGCCCTGCAGCCAGGCACCAATCCCAGTTAGACACAAAAGAGGAAAGACTGGTGCTATCCCGAGAGGATGGGCAAGAAGCCTGGACGTGGCAGGGGAGAAAGGTGCCCCTGTGCGTAGGTGGGCGGAGGCTGCAACACCAGGTTGAGCTCCAGCGCAGATTTAAATGGCCTCAAAGCTAATTATCACAAAACTGTACCTAGAAAATCCGTGATGCTTCCAGGGAAACTCTGGTAGTTCTTTTAAATTAATCAAAATGGTACTGATCATCTTCTGCCAATTACTGCCTTGCTGTCGGCAGCTCCAAGCAGCTACGAAGGATGATGCACACAATAAGGTATCTCTGCGAGCTGGCAGCAGGCAGGCTGCAATCCCTCTGCTCACTTTTGATTCCTCTCCCTCTGGTTATTGAAGAGAACAGATGCAACCTTTGTTTTTCAGAGACAATTCAGTATTTTATCATTCCGTATGGAACCATCAATTCCAGATTTTCAACATTCTCAGTTGTGGTATTACAACCTGACCATTTTAACGCGTATATACAGACTGCAGTGAGTTTTGCATGTGGAGTAAAGCCAAAACTAGCTCTTTCTTTATGTGACAAAAAAGCAGTAGCATTATATAAGCTCTAAAAATAATAATAAAAAAATATTCACGGCTAACAGACACTGCATACTACTTGCATCAAATCATCAGACAAAACACCGTGAGGCTGTTAGAAGCTTTCTCAATGGTGATGTGTTCAATAACTTTACACACAGAAGACTTTTTAAGATAAATAACCACGGCAAATCTCTTTAACTACATGTATGTAATGGCCTTTTTGAAATCTATCAGCCTTTAAAAACACACTTTTTCTTTCACAGCTTAGAATCGATAATTTTGGTTCCCCGAGCAACACTGTGTACTGCAGTTTAAATGGAAAGATACCACTCCACTGCAGGAAGCCCCGAGTTACACATCAGTGGAGGCTAAGAGAGCATATTTGAGAAATATCACTACATGCATGTTCTGTTTTTATACTCTTCCCTAGACATCTGCTAATGGACGGTGTCAGATCTAGGTGAATCTTACCAGATGGATGCTGGATGCCTGTTCTATATTTGCTGGAAAAGGGCTGCGGAGCACATTTTTTGTTATAAGGTGGGAAAGTAATAACAGCATGGTAACGATAGCCGAAGGGCTGAATTCACCCTTCGTTCCATTTATTTTAATAGAGTTATATTGAGGATGAACAAAACAGCACAAGCATCCAATTTAATCACAAGACTCAGGACTTGGGTATATAAAAGCCTTCAAATAGACATACTATATGTTGGCCTTAAAAAATAACTAAAAAAACCAAAATGACAGAATGTTTCTGTTTTTTAAGGTTACTTTATGTGGTCTTGCAAAAATAAAGAGATGATAATAAGTGAATGGCAAAGAAATACAATAGAAGGGCGTTAGGGACACAATCATTGTTTATAGCTGTCTTGCTCTCTCATTCGGTCCTAAAAAAGCAACGTAACAGCACCAAATCCAGCACACTCACCACCTTCTGGTCTCTTGCTAGCTAACTTAAGTTGAACAGCAACAAAAATGTTAGCTTATATGTAAAAATAATTAGGAAAGAAAACTTCTGCCTTTGCATTAACCACAAGTGGAGGCTTGATATTCAGTACGCATGTGGCCAGTGAAATAATAGCCTAAGAACTGCTTTTCATCCAGGCAACCCCCTACCTCCTAACTTGGAGTTGAAATGCATTCTGCAGTGAGACAGGCTGGGTAAAAAGCAAACACTATATATATTTTACTGCAAAAAAAAAAAAAAAACAGACTGCAAGTATCGCACTTCAATTTAAAGGAGAGATTTCATTAAAAAAAAAAAAAAGGCAAATAGCCTCATGCAGCAGTTGTATGTGAGAAAGATGCCAGGCATCTGCAGAACAGATAAAAAACAGGAACAAATTCAGAATCTTTCACAGCCTCTTTTATAATCATAATTATTTTTTAAACAGAATTCATTCTAGCAGGTACAATTTTTCTAATTAACCTTCTTTCATATTTTTTACTCAGAAAAAAAAGTCTATTAAAAGACCACTCTAGCAGTCTGATGATCACTGCATGCTGCATCAGGCCCAGTAATTCCTGCCTTGCCATTAACATCAAGCAGAAATAACCATCAAATCCATAAGAGTTTATTCCAGTGTGATGACTTCAGCTGAAAACAAAATCTAGTCCTATAATCTAGTATAAGCAGGAAATTTTTCACATGTCTTCACATGCTATCGATTTAAAAGAATATATAACTTTGAGAAATATGAATACTTTATACAGGAAAACAAAACAAAACAAAACACCATTTTCTTTCACCTAGTACAAATCAAGTCCTGGAGGTTTTATTTTTAAATCACAGGTAATAAATAATTTAAGGCTAAGTAAGATGCTGTAACTACCACTGTAAATTATTTTTGTGTTTTCAGAGTCTACACTCTGATGGGTTGCTATCCAGGGCAAACAGAAACAGATAAGCTCCATTCCACCTGGGACCCAGGACTTTCAAAGGTCAGAGAGAAGGAAGAAGACTCAAGTGAAAAATTCTTAACCTGGAAATGAGCGTGTAAAATCTTCAGAGCAGGCAAGAGATCAGCAACTGTCCCTTCCCTGTGTTTGCAAGGCTCCTATCACAGTGAGACTTCCATGATGTCTGAGATGCCTGGAATGGAAACAACTAACCATCACCATCACACAGAAAAGTCGTATCCTGAGCACTTTCGGCTGTGTGTGGGGGGAACGGCTGTTTCAGACTCAACAGAAGATACAACTTCCATTATTTTTCAAGAAAACAAATCAAGCCCAACCCCAAAACAAGTATCACTTTTTTTTCCTTTTGTTCTAAGCCAAAGATTATGCCACCTAGTTATCTCTATACCTAGTTATTAAGCACCAAAAGTTCCACAGGAACTTAAGGAAAAATTTTTTAACAGTGAGGGTGACACAGTGCTGGAACAGGCTGCCCAGAGAGGTTGTGGAGTCTCCTTCTCTGCAGATCTTCCAAACCCGCTTGGACGCAGTCCTGTGCCACGTGCTCTAGGTGACCCTGCGTGTGCAGGGGGGTTGGACTAGATGATCTCTAGAGGTCCCTTCCAACCTTAAGCATTCTGTGATTCTATGATCTCTAGTCTACCAAACAGTCTTGCTGATGACATCCTAGAGGGAAAGGAAAGGGGGAGTAAGTGGTAGCTTATCCCTTCTATTTTAAGTGCCAATGCCATTTAATATGGAGAAAATGATACAGGAAAGCTTTTATCAAAAGAAAAAAGAACTAATACAGAGTCAATGCTGCAAATGGGCACTGCTTGCTTATAGCATGTGGGGAAACCCATGCATCTCAATAGCGGACTCCAGAGCTGCACAAAATGTTGTCTAAAAACATGAGAAATTGTTTAATATGACCCTATGCTCTTTCACCAACATCAAACAAACAATTTACTAAGAAATGGAACTTTCTAGCCTGTAAAGTTGCAACGAATGTGACAGTCCTACCGTGGAGAGTTGAACCCGCTGTCCACAGTAATGCTGCTGCTGTCCATGCTGTCCAGGCGAGCCGAATGGGTGGCTCTCTGGTTGTTGCTATTTTCCGTTTCCTTCGGGGTGAGAAGAGTAAGATTCTTCTCAAACTTTCGCTGCAGATCCCTTTCTTTTTCCCTCTCCAGCAGCCACTGCATAGTGCCAACATCATCCCTATTCTTCTCCTCCTCGGCGTTTTTGTTTGTTCCTTCCTCCGAGTCGTCGTCATCAGACACATTGTAGTAGTCGAAGGAGGCCTCCTGGTTCCCACTTGTCTCTTGCTGTCTCTGTGAAACGGGCAGGACTTGTGTGACTGAGGTTACTATCGCTTGTTCAAGTTTCTCACATCTGACTGGCAACGTGTCAGAGGGGCTCTTTTGATGGGGCTTAAGCAGGGGTGTGCTAGACTTATGGTAACTATTCACAGAAAGAGTATTGTGCAGAGGTTTGAAGAGCGTATCCTTGCTAAATATTTCTTTCCTTTTATCAAGGCTGCTCGATTCAGTGTTATGGTGCTGAACCAGCCGTCCATTTGCGATCACCTCTGGAGTTTGGCCGGCAACTGCTGAGCCGCTGCTTGGAGCCTTTGGGGACTCCTCTTTGTGCACCCCAGGCTCCCTGGCACCATGTTGAGATTGTCTTTCTGAGGGAGTCATCTTCTTGAGCCCATCTACCACAGTCAGGGTGTCGTGATCCTCTTTGTTCTTCCCCAGCGGTGACGGGGCAGTGAGCACGGTCTCGCTGGACGTGTTGCACTGAAAATAGTCCTCGACGGCAGACTTCGTTGTGCAGGAATTGAGCTCGCTGTACGACGGCAAACTCTCTGCCGGCTTGTTTTGTTCCAACAGGCTACAAGAACTGGGGGTTTCTACGCTGCCACTAACTATTTCGGGGATGCAAGTCTCTTTGTAGCCTGCAGATGAAATCAGAGCCCTTTGATGACTGTGTGACTGAGATGGCCTTAAGGTACTATCGTCGATGTAAGTTTGGCTAGTTGTTTGGTCATCTGGGCTACAGCCTTCACCTATGTCTTCAGGTGTGCCCAAAGTAGCAGAGCCCAGAGGTCCCTTGGAGTTATCCATAGATCTAGACCTTTCTTTGGCCTTACTGGACCTCTCGTTCCTTGATCTTCTATCCTGTGTATGGCTGTGGCTCCGATGCACCTTGGAGTGGGAGCTTCCTCTGGAAGGTTCAGGAAAAGGCATTTCAGTTCTTCTTTTGGCCAGCTCACCAGACACATCCCACTCTGGTGTCATGGGAAAGTGAGATTCAATCATGTTAGGGTTGCTGTGCATTATAAAATTATCTCCCTTGTGCTCTATTATAAAACAGCCTTCCCGTGGGGACCGAGTCAAGGGATCATAAAACTCATACTCCCTTTCAGCAGGTATATCCAAATGAGAACCATCAGATGGGTCTCCCTTGGACACCCGAGTCTTACTGTGTGACCTCGATTTCCCATGAGACTTTCTGTGATTCCTACTTTTTTTACTTCGTCCACTGTGGTGAGCTGAAGATCCAGCTTTGCTTCGTTGAGCTTTTTCTTCTTCAAGTTTCTTCATTAGTGCAGTGTGCCTCATGACATTTTCCACAGTCAAGTCTGGGTTAATGCGCCTGATAATCTCCATTTCTACCTCTCTGGGTATAGTGGTAGGGGTGTCTTCGTCCCTTAGCGGCCACTCCTCCGGAGGAAACTGTGCAGAGAAATTTGCCAACTGTTTTGTCTTGTCCTTCTTAAAACTTAATCGGAATAATTTGAGTCCGAATTTCTTTGACTGCTTTTCTACATCCTTGGGCTTTGTGAGTGTCTCTGCTTTATAAGAAAAATTGACAGTACTTTTACTTTTCTCAGTAGGTGGGACCTGACATAGCGAAGGAGGACAAAACGAGTCTTTACAGTCCTTTGCTGATTTCCTCTGTAGGGTAGAGGCATGCATGCTGTGCATGTCTTCTCTGCAACAGTGGCAGGAGTCGCAGTGGTTTTTGGGTAGTGTTCGGTCCCTGACACATCCCGAAGTGGAGGGAGTTACAGTTCCTTGTTGTGGAGAGGTACATTGAGACCTGTCAGGTATCCTCTCATCCAAATGGTACCACTTACTGTTAGTTCTTATGAGAGAGGGTGTTATGAAGTAAGTCTGTGGGGTTACAATGAAATAACCATCCGGAGTGGGGTATATTTTCCTCTCCCGTACAAGCATATTCAAGGTGTGCCGAAGGATTTCAGGGCTGGGTGTTGGAACTCCTAGAAATGACAGCAAACACATATCAGGCAGTGCGTAAACCTCCGACTCCCTCCCTCCCCTACAAAAAATTGTTTTTCCAAGTGCAAGCTGGAATATGCTGAACAAACAACTCCAGCAAAGCACTTTGTTAGGCATCCTCTTGTCTGTTTGTTTTTCCACTTATCTCCTACACTTCAGACATATGAATTATTAATTAAATAGAAAAGAGGACATTAATGGAGTGAAAAAAAAAGAGAGAGAGAGAGGGAGTACTTCCAGTCACTTTATTGTGCAGGTGACCTTAAGCTACAAAATGGAATCGATGATGTAAAGCAAAGGAAATTGGGGCAAACATTTCATTTTTACTCTTCGCCCAACCATATATTTATATCCTAATTCACCAAAACTATTCATTACAATGTATAGTTAGCTATAAAACAGTGGTTATTTTTACTTTGGACGCCTATGTCACTTTTCACAGTAAAGCGGGACAAGAAAACCATTCCCCCAAGTGGCCCCTCTGTCACCAGCTTGATCAAACTTACTCAGTCTCCTGCTCAGAGAGGCTTCTGTGGCACCAGCTGCTCCAGCTGCTCGAGTGATGCGACTCAACTTACCCAGACAAACCTGCCCACTACACGGCAAGTTATAGACCTAGTTCCTAACAGCCTCGAGCTCCCAAGAGCCCTCTGTGTGTCCTGGGAGACGTGAGGGACATCTGCCTGAGTGCATGTAGCACCTACTAAGAAAGGGACAGCGATAGCAACCCCACATCCCCTGCACACGGCAGCTTGGGGACTCCCCACGCCTGGTGCTCCCCACCACCAGGACTCTTGCTGAGGTCAGTGATGCAGGACCACATCTTAAATACTTTATTAGATAAAGCACCAAGTTAGTATGCTGCATGCAGGAGCAGGCTCCATCCAGAGCTAAGGGAGTAAGAGAATTAGTTCACAAATTTATAACGCATTTGTACCGAATAGGAAATAAAAACCTTTCAAACTTTTCAGTGGAATAAGTTATCTTCAAGCATTCTTGAAGTTATCTTCAATACATTTAGTTGAACTAAAAACCTGTTTTAACTTAATGTTGGATACTGACCTGGTTTACATTTTTTAAGTAAAAAAAAATTTTAAACCAAGTTTGGATTTTTTTTAGTACTAAAAAGTTCATATTATTTACTCTAGGCTTCTTTGTCAACGAAAGTCATTTAAGGAAATAATAAAAAAAAAAAGCCGACTTGGAATAACTTAGGTTGCAAGGAACCTCTGGAAGTCAGGTGTTCAACCCTCCTATTCAAAGCAGGCCCAACTGGTATCAGGTCACTTAGGACATTGTCAAGCCAAATTTTGAATCTTCAAGGACAAAGATTCCATGAACTCACACAGACAGAAACATTTCAGCAAAGAAGGTGCTTTTCACAAAGACACTGCATGGAAAAGTCTCGCCCAGGTGTACTCGCCACCAACACAGCATCCTCTGGCACACACAGTGCATCGTCACCAGCTCTTCTCCTTTAGGCTGGAGCTTGCAAATTCACTGAATGCCTTGTGGTAACAAACACAAGAAAAAGAGCAAAAGCACCTTGCACTATGGCCAAAATCCTGTCACATTCACTGCGCTGTTGACTGCACACTTAAATGAGCTTGAAAAGTCAGCTCTCTGCATTACAGTGTAAACAAAAAACAGGACAATGAAAACTGGAACACGTCTGAGTGCCCTATATGACAAAGAAAACAAGAATTTCCAGTTTCTTTACTGACTAACCTGGGATTCTGAAATAAGACCAAATAAACAGGTCTGGAAGAAGCCTCTGTATTTCTGAAGTATTTTTTAAAATGCAAATGAACACTACAGAGCTTAGAGACATCACTACTGAAATATGTTAGAATGTGTAGAAGCTTGTATTTTCTTTAAAGGGAGTGGAAAGGTAAAGCTTTTATACTTTATATTTTATAAAGTCCTTGTTGAGCAGCTTGCTTTTTTCCGATGAGCTTGAGTTTCTTGGTGCAAGGCTTGTTCAGCATGTGCATACTCTTGGGGATGGGATCAGAGTCTGCAGTAAAATATTCAGTCACCCAGATGAATCTGGCTTTCACAACCTCTCCAGGTGGGGCAACCAAATAGGAAGCCTTACAGCACTGGGTAGATCACAAAGTGACCAGTCCTGAAGCTTACAAGCAGCTCCACCATCTCCTCCCAGCTCTCAGAAGAAATGCTGCTGAGCACCCTAACGCTTGACTCCAGGATGTAAAACATGGGGACACAGACCTTCTATGCCAAGCATATTATAAAACATAACAAAAGGTAGGTTAAATTCCTTGGCTTCTGCAGAAGAAACAGATGCAAACTACCCAGAAGGTACAGAATGATGCAAGGTGAAGGGAACCAACTACACCAAGGGGCAGTCAAAACCTTCTAGGAAGAACAGGGTAAATCCTCTGCCCCACACCTTGAAAATGTGCTCAGAACTAGAGTCGTGCTGAAGGGAAACCTAGGGGGGCTCTGCCTGAGTCGAGTCCTGACTGGAATTAAAGGAACAGCTTCACCACAATATATGGATGATCCCAAAGCCAAGCACAGGGGCTGCTTCTTCCTGTATATTACAGGGTCCAATCCTGCTGCCAGGGAGATGCAACTGTTGTGCAGCAGCTACCCTCTCCTCCCACCTCTACATACACAACCTGATCGATCCAGAAGCTTTCAGGTGTCTCAACACATCCCTACTTTTGTCTGGAAGGAGATGATTCTCCATCCTGGTTTTACTTGGGGACTTTTTTTTTTCCCCCCAAGAAACATCCCCCACTGATTAAAAATATAGGTACAATATAAAGAGAGGAAAATACTCTCCTGGGAGTTTACGGAAGAGTTAGGAAGAGAGATTGAAATGGATCTGCTGATGTTTTACACTAACTTATGCAAATATGCACTGCAAATACATACTAAAAATAATACATATTTTTCACTCAATAAACCATAATGAGTACAACGCGGTGGGTGAGTCTCTAAACACTGGATGCACTGTAGTTATATTGATTAAATCCTGTGAATACAGAATGTGCAGGCATACCCAAAGGGAAAAAATAATCACCATGCCTGGGCAGCCAGTGATGCTCTGAGTTACTTGTGTCAGCCTCTTCTCTGGAGTTGGAGACTGCCACTTTCATTACTCCCACCGTAAATCCCTGTGGTTCACGGTCCCAACTGGTATCTTTGGAGTCCGATATCACCAGCTAACACTAATACAGGTTTTGTTCAAGTCTCTCCTTCAGGGATATTTCTATTTACAAAAGCAGAAAGAGACTCAAACTCAGATTTGGATTTTGGGCATGGTGGGAAGGAGCACTCAGGCACCTGCGGGTTTTAGTTTAAATATTTCTTTATACTTCGTATTTACATGAGTACTTTAAATATGGCTATGTATGATATAGGCTCAGCAGATATACGCTTGACTGGCTTCCACTGCTCATATCCTGAGTTAAATAAGCACAAAAATCAATGAGTTTATTTACACTAGGAAGTGCTAAATACCTAGCAGTGACTATTAGAATGGATTTCTGACCTTAACATACACAATCTAAGTAAAAGAAGAACATGGAAAAAAATTACCAAGCAAAACTGGTTCCCAAACTGCTGACAAGTCAATTTATTCTGCTGACAAGTAAATTTATGTTTCACATTTCAGAACTTTCTCTTTCTTTCTGTGTTTATTTCCACTTTTCTCTCTCATTTTCTCTCTTTTTATCCTAGCCAACATTTTTCTTTCGCTACTACTTTCATTTTCCCTCTGGACCAGCTACTCCAAGATTCCACCTCCCGTTGTTGGTTCTTGGTTTCAAAATCCAAGCAGGGGGAAATAGCTGGGGTTCCATCTGAGTCAGTGTTGTAATAGGCCATACAAACAGCACACAGGAGGGTCCCGATTTATTGCACCTGACTGGGGGCCTGCAGCAGAATTCTACAAGTTTAGAAGCCCAAACCTCCCATACAAACCCTGGGAAGCGAGATCCTCCCAGGAGGCAATTCATATTCACACAGCTAAAGAACACAAGGATATTTTGCCCTCTTATAGACACAAGGCTGGTGGGGTTTCCATGTCAGAATGTGACAGGTTGATTAAAAAATAGAATGCATATTCTTCTGCCTGGACTTTCACTACATACATCTTTAACCTGTAAAAAGTTTAAAAGAAAAAAAATGTAGGAAAGCTCTACTGTAGGCAAAGACTTAAGGTAGAAGTGGGTCTAGCTGTGATCCTCACATCCAATTTCAGTGCAGTCCAACATTAAGTGTCCAACATTATAATTCTGTTGAGAGGGAGCAAACTGGGGCCAGCTGTGTTCCAACTGGAGCCATCAGCAAAAACTCTCCTGACTTGGATAGGAAAAGATGAGCCTCAAATACCTACAGTGAGTGAAAGATGGTTCTTTTTTTTCCTCTGTCCTTTAACCATTTGCCTACTCCACACCTTTCCACGTTTTGTGAGCCAGAGGAGGAACAGGCCAAAGTGGCTTCTTGCTCCTGTAAACAATTCGATTATCCCAAGCTGAGAATCCCAGGGGGGAAGATCCACAAGGTTGACTGCGACTAGCCAGTGGTTACTGTCCACAGCACAGAGGAAACTGCACACTCGCAAGAAGCAACTTGATAGCAGCGCCCAGTGGCAAAATCAGGGAAAGAAACAAGATTTCCTGCCTTTCTCAAGACTTCTCCCTTCCCAGCAACGTGCCCACATCACATCCATATGAAACCTGCCCCACTGCGCTCACAGATGTCTCCTTCTGCTCTCCCGTCTCCGGGAAATAGGAGCAAGAAGGAAAAAAAAAAGAAGTGGTTTAGAGACTGCACATCATTTAAAATACTGCATGACAGCAGTGGTGTTCTTTAAGATTATGTAGTGCTTTAATAATTCAAAGGCAGAAACTGTCTGGACACTGAATCATCAGACATGTACATCTTCTGCATCTCAGGAGAGTCTGCCCTGCCATCCACGGAGCTTCCAGACAGGAGAGCGTCTCGCCTGCTGCTCGGGAAGAACGCCGACCTAGGGTGAACTCCGCTAGTGCCGGCGCAGCGAGCGCGCACGGACCGTTCGGAGGTGCAAGTCACAGGAACTTGCCAGCTTCTAGAGAACTGTTTGCTCACTTCCAAAGTGGCGTATTTCAGCAAAAAGAATGTGTTCTACACTGATATTTTCAAAATGTTTAAAAAAAAGCCAAAAATATTAACTATCTTAATAATTTTCCTTGCTCACTTCCAAAGTGCCTTTTTTCAGCAAAAAGAATGTGTTCTACACCGACATTTTCAAAACGTTAAAAAAAAAACCAAAAAATATTAACTATCTTAATAATTTTCAGGGAGAAAAAAAAAGTTTCAGTCAAATCTGCATAAACGAATGTTCAATGTTTTCTTCAGCCACATTTGTACTGATAAGAGGGTCTAGCTGCCAAGCACAGGAAAAGAGGTTACATCCATCGCTGTTATACTGGATTCCAAAGATTTATATTTAGTGTATGGGACTTAGACCATGGTCAATAAATGTCATTTAGGGCTGTAAAAAACATCTCCTGGTTTAATTTTAAGTTAGAATAATGGAAGCATGTGCAGAAGAACTCTCTTGATTAAAAAAAAAAAAAAAAAAAAAAGATAAATCGCCAAGGCACAAACAAGATGTGCTTTATCACTACAAACTTTTTCAATAAAATAAATCTATGAAAAATAAATCTGAAGTAGTATTTAAATGGTGTTAAATCTGTTAAAATGATTTTCTCCTGAGCTGATGCTGAGGCTTAACAAGGGATAAAGGAAGTATTCCGATTGGCTCATGAAATACTAGTTAAGGATGTGGAGTGGTTGCTATGTGATGTTATAAATAATTAGCATACCTTATTTCAGATGGAGCCGTGGCCCAGATTTGTGCCTGCACAATGGCTCAGCAAACTGAAGGGCTAGGCTGCAAGTGCAAGATCCTGCACTGAGCAAAGAGGTTTATTATTCTTAGGCAGTTAGAAAATGGCATCCGGGGGTCTTAGGAAATTTACACATGGCACGAAACTCAGTGCAGCATCTGTTGGTTAAAGCATGAACACCACAGACAGGGACATGTTGCTACGGGGCGAGATGTGCAGGGAGGTTATTTGACAATGATAAATATGACTCCATCGGTAACACTCTCCTCTCTGAGCATCGGAATGCAAATAGGGAAAATAAACTATCAACATATGGGAGGGTAGGAGATATCTGCAAGTGGCCACACACAACACGAGGGCTCCAAAAGCCACAAGCTGATTTATGCGAGAGCTTGGACAGACAAGTGGTAACATCACTCAGCACAAGGAGAGGTTCTGTTTATTGGAAAGAGGCAAGACGTGCGAGCAACGATCGCAGGCACGTGCAGGCTCACTGTGCCCACTATGGCACGGCCAGGGGAGGAAGGCATCTTCTAGGGAGGGGAAAAAGAATCCGACCACAAAGGATGGATTTTTTCTTTTTTTTTTTTATCCCTCATTTTTTTGGACATTTGGGGAGGTGAAGTAGGAAACACAAGGCTCTCCCTTTCTTCATTTCAGATTTGAGAAATACACATGTTCACATCTAGAGGAAAGAAAAAAAAAGCAGCAAGAGGCTGTGTGCTAAGTTGCCTCAGGCTCCTTGTGAGCGCAGTCTACAAAATAATCCAGCCTGTTGAATTTTTTTTTTTTTTTGATGTATGTTTCTGTCCAGCAGGAACAGCACAAAACACAAAGCCAGCGGATAACCACATTCCCAGGAAGCCCAAGGGATGCTATCAATAAATTATAATTTCCAGCACACAACAATGCTTTTATTAAACAAGTTGATAGCATCATTGGAAAAATATTTGCAATCTGTGGAACCCTTCTTGTGTATAGCAATGCCAAAAACATAATTGGGAAAAAATTACAAAAATGAATTGAACTAAAACTACAATTTTCAACTTTGCTTTCTTTACATACTATCCAACATGCATAACTATTTCTAAAATACGCAAAGTATACTGAATCCCACCCCCCAAAATCAACACATAAACAAAGCCACAAATGGGAACAGAACGACAGTATTTGCAAAATACGCTTGCAGTACTTCTTTCTGAAATGCCCTTATCAGATATCAGTCAGAACAGTTTAATGCAAAAACCAGCTCAGGATTTAAAATTATATTTTAAGATCTCAGAACTTTGCAGCAGCTACGGAAAAAAACAGGTATCCTTCAATACCCTAAGACCCTCATGCTCTAAAATTTACAGCCAGAAAATTCAAGACATCAAAACACAGCTAGAAGAGGCTGTCTAGATGAGGCATTTGCACCATTAGTTTTCTTTCTGAAGATTTTGTAATGAGCTTTTACAGCCGTAGCAGGTGGCACATGAGAGACGTTTCTTAGCCAGCTTACAGAGGTGCAAACTAAGGCACTGACTGGTCACACACATTGCCCAGGGTCCCATGAAGCACAGGTGGCTCCCGCAGGCAGTGAGCCTCTGCCCACAGCTTTTACACCACACTTTTACACGACTCACACTCAGCTGCCTCTGCAGGAGCTGTTTGCCATGATTCACCAACTCCAGCAGCATATTCATGAATACATTCTTCATGCAGGCTTCCATCTTTAATTCAAAACATTTCCATTTTACTATTTGATATTAGCAAATGCCAGCAAGAAAATTTCTGAACAAAACACAATGTTTATAAACACAGCAAGTGCATCTCTGGCTCTCCAAACCTTTTATTCATGGAGAAAAAAAAATAAAAGATTTCATGCAATGGGCAGAAATAGCAGTAAAAAGTCAGAACTGTGCCCAAGAAGTCTTCGATAGCCTTTTAAAACCAGGTTACCAACCACCACTCAGTTTAAATACCACCTTCCAACACCCCCCGAGGTAAGGAAAAAAAAAAAAAAAAAGAGACAGACACATTATCATCACTGGATAGTCTGTCTACATGGTTTGGAGGAAGATAAAGTACATGGGAAACATGCTCTACACAGAGACCTCCATGCGATTATCCCTATGGAGAGTGAACAAGAGCATCTGCAGTGGCTGAAGTCCACAGAGCTCTTACTGGGTAGCTTCAAATCAGCTTGGAACAAGTCTGCTCTGGCTATGACACATGCTTTGTTCTCCATAAATATTAAAGAAAGTCAGTACTTTTGACTGTAGCGCTAAAGAAGGTATTTTTGTGAGAAATATCAGAGGCAAACTTGTTCTGATATCCATTTGAAGAAAACAAAAGAATATAGTTTGTGGTTTAGTACCTTGAGACTTTTTTTTTTTAGTATTTACATGATGCCAGGAATTGACCCTGCAAAACGGATCTCACACAAATAGCCCTAACAAAGTGAACTTGATTCATTCTACATAATAGAATAGAATACAGAGAAAGGTTATAAAACTGGAACCTTAACGCCTCCTTTACTTCTGTATTGCATCTCAGGATTAATCAATATTCCCATCCAGAACAGTGAAGAAAAATGGACTAACAAATATCAAAATTTCCTATTTTAAAAGAAACAAAGAGCAACGAGCAACCCCTTGTTTTGGGAGTAGATAAGCCCATCTCATCAATGCTTTGTTAATGTACAGTTACCTGGGAAGCAAGTTGTTAGGTGCTCCATTAGTGCTTCTTGCGTGACTTGTTTTCGGGCAGAGTTCATGGCTGAGATGGCCAGGCAAAGGATTTCCCCAAGTGGAATGAACTGTGACTGACTGATGGGAGACATGCTGATTGGTGATACATCACCTGTAGAGAGACACCAGACACACAGTGAAGCCTTTTGCTTAAAAAACACCGCTCACAGAACAGCTTTGTAGAGACGTAACCAGGAGATGATGCGCACAGCTCGGTACTCTTTACCGTGTTCTTGGAATAAAAGCCTTATAATAAGAGCCACCCAGCATCTTATTTCAAAACTCACAAAGATGTGGTGAACACTAGAAAGCTAAAAATACATTATAACACAGACATAATTTCTCAAAGGATGCTGTAACAGAATAGCAAAAATGCCTCCAAGTTGGCATTTATTGGCTGCAAAACCTCATGCTTGAATGTCCTATGAGGTAACTGTATAAACAAAAGGGTTACATACATTTTTCTGGACAGACATTTTATTGTCCTTTCAAAGGCGAGCACTTATGGTTCACGAAACCACTTCCAATTGAGACATTATTTCTTAGTAGTGTAAAAAAAAATCAGACAAAATATGTTAAAAGTGTTAAAGAATCACATTTTCATTCATGTAACAGAGAGGAACATACACTGTTTAGAGGCATAAATGCATCAAACATGCAAAGACTGATACCCTGAACTGATCCCTCCTGAATCTACACATGCAGTGTCTTTGCATTGACTTTTTTTTTCCCCCCTCCTCTTAAATAAAGAGGAGACTTAATGGCTTGGGCATGCCCTCAAAATTATGAGGTAACTTTACTCAAATATTCTTTTCTCATGTTGCTTTTAAAAACCCTTCATCAACTCATACTTTAAAAGTGTCAGGCTATGAACTCTTTTTCTGGTCAAACAGCAGCCCAGGATTAAGTTTTAACCAAGTGGTTTTGAAATCTCAAGAACTTCACCGTATTTCTGCTGCAGCTGAGCATACTTTATGATCAGAAATCATATCACTGGGAGACAATTCAAACTCAAACTCTTCTCCACAATTTAGAGGATTACTATTGGCCCTATAAATTCTATGTTCTCACTATGTCTACTAAACAGGAACTGCAGTCTCCAACAGTGAGCATCAAAATCATTTAATTTTGCATTATACTCAGTGCTTTAGCTCCGCCACCAGTATTTTTTTTAAACTGTGCTACTGTTTCACTTAAGACTTACAAGCAATATTTTTCCAGACCTGCTGTACACCTTGTTGTGCAGCAGTGACACCCATCACCCAAGGTACAGCAAGGATCTGAACCATGCAGACCCTCCTCCTGCCTGACCACAGACCCAGAATGATGGTCTTAAAATACCACCTCTTCTGGACATCCTTCATTTACACGTGCCTGAAAAGCCACTGCCCCGTGTGCTTTATAGACAAGCAATGGCAATCTTGAAGTCTGCAGACAGCTCACAAGGAGACATGGTAACTTTTGCATGACACCAGCGCTAGCACCGTTTGCCCAACATCCCACGTGTTTTGCAAATGAAAAACGAACAAGAGTTATCACTGCTTACACAGAGTTGTACCTGAGATATGATATATAATCTATAATCAGCAAGACGGGTAAGTTTATCATGTCTGAATAGCAGGAACAGCAAAAAAAAGGGGGGGAGGCACTTTATTGTAGAGGGGGTTTCCTTAGTGATTGCTTTCATGTCTAAAAAGCACCCGAATGACCAGAGAGAATTATGCAGTTTAGCTAAGCAGTTTAAGAAATTCCTGTCCCAGAGGTTATTTCTGCCATGGGTGTCCCTGTGAGCACCGTAAATTTGATTCAGAGCCACGTGAAACAGATTGGCATAAATCACCTTCAGCAGAGGTGTAACCCGCCCAGGTTCCCTGGGCACTGCAACGGGCTGTCACGGCTCCCCAGTAGCTGTGAGGGCACCCACGTAAAGGGCTGCAATTTCCTGAAATGCTTTTGCAGGCTAACGGGCCAGAAAACACCCGGTCTCCACATTTGGCCCCTGCCAAGTGGGTTGTTCTAAGATTTCCAACAACCAGCGCTTATCCTTGACCCAACTCATCAGTATAAAACATACACGGAGTATCCGTGACTTCATGTTAACACAAGCTCTAGCAAAGCGTGCTGGAGTTGCACTATGCCAGGATAAAATACGTGCTTGCTTGCAAATATTTGGGAACTTAACAACGGCTTAATTAATTATAAATAAGACCACAACTGTATATACATTTGTAATTAAAAAGATTGTGAATGCAAAGACCCACGGACAGCACACACAGTTGATGCGAGAGCTTTCCTTTCTGTTTTATTTGGGACTATCACCAGCTACTTTCCCACTGAAAATTTTCCTGCCTCCTTCATTGCACCAAGGCAATTCTTGCTTCACCTTTGCTGCTGCCAGAATTAATTCTGGAGCAAAGTAGACCTGCAGTTGCCAGTAAAATGTCTGCTGGAGATCACTGGTGAGCCTAACTCAGAGAAGCTGGCACGTCTGTAAAACCCTCAGCAGACCCAAAGCCCCTTACCTGGGGAGGCTCTAATTTGCCAAATTTTATCTCAAATATCCCTGGGCTCTGGGAAGCTACAAGTACTCTGTGGTTACAGCTTAGCGAACAAACTTCTTTGATGCCCAACACCAGAAAATACCTTGTGTTTACCATTTAATATGTTAACATCAATTATGTGCATAAATACTGTCAAGGCTTTTGAAGAGAAGGTTTAATACAACTTCTTTAGGAAAGATCTATTAAAAAAATCACATAAGCTTTTCTTAATTTTCCTTTTTTTTTCTTTCCTGGAAGACCACATTACTGACATAAAGGATCCAACATATGGCTCCTGTTAGCTCTGACTGATGCTTGTTTCAAGCAGCTTTCTTTTGAAATCAAATTACTATCCTTGACTTTTGTATATTTGTGTTCCCAATTAAAATAAAACTGGAGTCCAGAAAGCATTTTCACCAATTGACTGTATGTTTTGTTTAAATACCATGTTCCTTCTGTCTATCTATCTGTCTATTTCAATTCTGTTTCTGCAGTCTTTCCAGACTATTCTTCACAGATTTTTTTCTTAACGTTTTCTGTACTTTTTTTTTAAAGGTATTCAACTTTTGGATTGAATGGGATCTTTCCTCATTTTTACCATGGTGATTTCTAGTTCTACTATAAGAGGAAAAATAATTACTTAAAACATTAAGTAACAAACAAAATAAATGCTTATGTCTTAAATAGCACATTTTTTTTTCAGTGGATTTCAAAGTACTTGAGAAAACTGGGCAACCATCGCTATCCTTAACATATAGATGAGAAAGTAAGACAGCCAGTAACAGAGTTAGGAGTGAAAAATCACACGCTGGAAACCTGCACTAGCAAGGCCACGTACTATGCCAGTATGTTCAGTATTTCTATTTTCTGAAAGTATGGGTACCACATCAGTACTATCCTGGAAAAAAATTAGGTTCTGCATCACGTGGCAGTGATTAAACTACCAACTACATACCAATGACTGACTTCTTAGTGGCTCTGTTCTTGAAAAGAAGCAACCTGGAAGTCAAGTGTCCCATGTCATGAAGTTTTCATTAAGATGGTTTTAAAAAAAAATGCTTTATAAGTAGGACCAATTCAATACAGTTACTGTGAAGGAAAATTAAGGAAATTACACTATGTCCACAGACTATCAGTGTTTCAGTGCACATTGGAATTTTTATATGTTATTTCCTTGAACACAGGGAAGAGCCCCTCTGATTATGCTCCTCATCCTGTTAAACGTAAGAAGCCAAAATCCTGGTTCTCTTCTCCATTCTGTCACTCAACACCTTTTATCCTTTTGTCTCCTATAAATGAAGACAAACTTAAATCATTATTTTTAGCCTGTTTTTTGAGGAAATGGGGCTGTGCAAACACAGTCTTTGTGTATGCCTTTGTCTTTCTTTTCCATATCCTTGACTAACTTTTGAGCCTCCTCCCTTAAACTGAGAGAGGGCAGATACCTCAGAGATCCAAGATTTGCTACAAGCTTTGTGAAAACAGGCATCTGGACATAAGAAAGCAGAGCTATTACTCCCTGCACTGAGGGAAGAAGCCAGAGAGGTTGTGTCTCACTAGACAACAGAGAATCTACAACGAGTGTTTGCTATGCACACGCAGCGAGCTCAGGGCACTGCCACGTTCTAGTAGCAGTAAGACAACCCAGTCCAAAATACTAGCTAAAGGAATATCAGGCTTCACTAGTTTTACTGCTTACAAGGCTACCATGTTATTCAGGAAACATCAAACTGTACTTCAGTAAGTTCATGGCACCACATGATTACAGCGATGGTTGCAACAGAAATCCCCTACATACATTTTCATGCCAACAGCCTGTTATGTTCAACATAAAATTATGATTTCACTCTGGGAAGAGCAGCTTGTTTTGTGTAATGGAGAAGGCTCCTCTTCAAACAAAAGGTAGCTAACAAAGCCAAAATTACCAGTAAGGGACAAAAAGGGGCTCCTCGACATAGAATATTTTCTCTTTTTCAAAAAAAAAGATCAAATGAAAAACCTTTTTCATGAAAGACATATTTTCAGAATGACTTAAAGGATAGGCAGATGTTGAAGAAGCTACACATCTGGCCTGTATTGCATATTGCCCCCTTTTTCCCCTTTCCCCCAACACAACTGAATCACCCTAATCACAGAACACTTATACTGATGCAGAAAAATAAAATCTTTCATAACTCATAACAATGATACGTAATTGCCATTTTAAGTCGGACAATGTTTTCATCTGATTAAAAAACAGGAGAGAACAGGAAGAACATGCAGATTTCTGTGGTATTGCCCAGATCACTCTGAAATACCTTGGCTTCACATTAGCATACTAATAGAGAAAGGGACACGTTTTACTGGCCAAATCTGAAATACACATAATGAGAAAGTGTGCTGCTTGTATAGTTCCAGCCAAGCACAATTTTCAGCCATGGCTAAACACTCCCTTTAAATCACATTTCCTGGCATATTTTACAAACAAAGCTGCGAGTTCTGTTTACTGGACTATTACATATATCAGAAAACTGGTAGCATAAAGAACAAAATGCATTAAAGATTTGACCATATATCCATGTTTTAGAGCAGCTTATGACAAGGATTCCTTTCATTATAAAATAAAACAACAATCCCTGCACCTGTAATCAGTCTTGCAGAACGACAGCGCAGCCCTGAAAGGTTTAAGAAGTGCAGTAACATGCACTATCTCACCAACAAGCTCCCCTGCACCTCTGAAAGACATGCACAATAAGAACATACCTTCGCCTGCAGATACAGACCACGAACCCTGGAAAATTGTGACCCCTCCAGCCTGAAGAAAACAGTCTTAAAAACGACCAGCCATATGACAGTTGCCTTTGAAAATGCTTGAGACAATTGTCTGGAGCTTCAATACTAAACTTTACTCCAGCCATGGAAATTGATCTTTTTAATCATTTGGACCCAGCAAAAAACAGGAACCCCAGGTACCACATGCCAAATGCCTGTTACTTTTGGAAAGTGCTGACCTACTCACAGTCACCAGATTTGTCTTACATGGATTCATCCTGTGTACTTGCTGTGACTTTTATTTCCTTCTCTTTGTTCACGTCCCGTGGCCAGCTGCCTCCTGATCCAAAGTGATATCCCAGCACGAATTAAGACTACGATCATAAAAAGTTTCTGCTGGAGCATGGAACTATCCCAGAGAGGATTCAGCTGGGGAGATTTTGATGATATCCCTGGGAGGTGGGAGGGTAGGATTATTTTTTAATATATTGTGTACCTTAGGATGTTTATCCTCAAAAAATATTTTTCAAATGTGTATTTTAATAAATGACAATGTTTACATTCCTGGCACACAATATGTTAAAAAAGGGGGACTTACCTGAACCCCTATGGTGTGGTTCCATGCTCCAGTACAACATCCAGAGTAGCTGGGAGGTAACAACAGCGTGCATATTAGGGCTTTATATCACTGTGGAAGCTGGCTGGCTGCAGCAGAGATCAATGCCACAGGACCTGAAAAAAGGAAAACAAAGCATGCTTTCTGGCAGGAATTAGCTGAATGCCTACCTCCCTAAGCAAGAAATAAAGGGTTTCCAAAAAAAAAAAAATAAAGAGAGATAAATCAATACCTATGCAGATCCTCTGTAAGACACCTAAATCTCACACAATAAGAGAAACAAATGGTTAAGGAATGACAGGGAAGGTGGAGGCAGAGAATCTAAAGGGCACTACAAATATAACTCCCACGCAGTGTTTTGAAAACATCTCTCTCCTTTTGCCCTATTTTCACAGAACAGCTGGAATCTCATGCTAATACCACCCCGTATTCCGAAGGCACTCACAGTCGTAGCAAAGCACCTCTCCACTGCAATGCCTCAGGATTCTGCAGTGTCACTCCTCTTCTGCCTGGTTCTCTGCAAAGTGAAGTCATAGGAATGGCTCAGCCAACCTGACTCTCACTACCCTGCCCAGAATCCTTTGTGAACTGAAATGAGTCATCGCTCCGCGAAAATCTACAGTGTGATGTTCCAGGTTTCTCCGTGCGCCTGCACTGGCTTCTTTGTCTTTGAAACGGAGTGCCTCTGCTCCTGGAACGGTGCCCAGCTGCACTGTGCAGGATAACAAGCCAGTCGCCTCATTAAGTGGACAAGAAAGCTATTTACATGCATTAGCACAGAGAAGTTAAAGCTTCAACCTCCAGTCACAAGAAAAAAATTACCCCTAACAAATCTTCTAGATTTAACATGCCACCCCCCCCACCATTTGCACAAAAGCAGATGCACACATGTGCACACACACACACACAGTCACAGAGCAACAATTTCTTAAATTATTCAATATTTAGCGCAATACTTACCAGTTTTTACTCTACTGATAAAGAAAAAAGGATTAGCTCTCCTTTGTCAGTCCCGGGGAACGCTGCAGACCAGCACATAACAGACAGCTCTACTGTACGCTGCATCAAAGTTGTGCTGCTGCAAACTGTTTATCAAAAAAAAAATTAAAAGCAGTGGACAAGTTCTTGCAAGCTCATTTTTTTTCATCATCTCATTCACTATTTGGGCTCACAACAAAGCGAGCCCTGAAACCATGCCAGGCAGAAAATGTCAAACTGCTCCAAGTGCTGAGAGCCAGTGGAGCCACTCCAGCTTCTGCTGCTTCTGACAAAGAAGGTAATGTTCAGAATGAGGTCACTGTGTCAAGATCTCACCCTCAACGCTGTATTTTGTTTGCAAGTTAAAGCACCCGAAAAACATGGAATAAATGATAGGGATAGTGTATGACGAGACATAAGCAGAAGGTTGTGTTTTGGATAAAAATTTGTAGTTGATTGGTAATTTTACTAGAAAAACATTTAGAATCGCCTTTACCACACAAAAAAAATATATTTCTAGTCATGATCTGTCACGAAGATTGATGGTCAGAAAGGGAGAGATAAACAGAAAAGCAGCGCTGAGGCAGAGCTGCACTTCCACGGCTATTCTAAGCACGCTGAAATATTTTGAAGTAGAGCGGGCACACAGACCCGTAACACCCCGTAACAGCGTATTTAGGACTCACCTACGCCCCAGAACACACCTTTACGTTAGGTTAAGGGAACGCACCATGGCGAGGACGTGTAACGCCGCGCTGAGCCCGGAGGCGTCAGTGCCCACGGCACCGCGCTGCCACACGCGGCCTCCCCGCTGCCGCAGCTCCAAGGAGCCAAAGCCGCCAAGCCTAGGCCCAAGCAAGTGCTCTGGGAGGAGAAATGTCTGAACTACACACGGAACAAACACAGCATTTGTGTTTCCTGGTCTACGCCAATACAGCCAAGCCATGCTGTAAGCAGGCTAATTTTCAGCGGTGAGGTAAACCATTTGCTTCACTACACCTCTAGTCATACAGCAGCCAAGGCCTTTGCATTAAAGCTGGGGCTTTGCTCTGTGCACAGTCACCAATTTCCGCCTTCCCCCGAAAACCTTATTCCAGGAAATCTTCATTCAACGCTAGGAGAGTTTTGCCCACCCAAGGGCTGTGGGATCTGCCACAAACTTCGAATGAATCCAGCTTGGCATTTGAGATGTTTAGGTCGCCAGGATCCTCCTGCAGAAACCTTGTTTGTCCGCTAAGCCCACACCTGCTTTAGAACAACAAAAACGATTCTGAGAAGAAAATCTTCCGTGGGCTCAAAAGAGAAGTACAGCGGGCACCTGCTGCAACAGAAAGCAAGCAGCACTCCAAGCTGCTCTGCTTGCTCCAGACAGCACGCAGAAACATTCACACACACACACGGCAATTCTTGCAAGAGCACTATTGCCAAAGTGAAAATACAGACACAAGAACGACCAAGCTACAAGCACGACTCTTGTAGGTAAGAAGCATTAAATATATCTGGAATGTACTGAGAGTGCAGATGTGTTGTAGCACGCTTTCATTCGAGTTCATCGCTTCAGAGCAGAAATATTACATAGACCTTTAATCAGTGTTAAGAAAGAAGTGCCAGATACCTCAAGCATGAGGAGAAAGGAAAGGGCAAGGAAAGAACAGGATCACAAACTGTAAAGGAGAACTGAAAGCACTGAAGCTGATGGATAAACCTGAAGAAAACAGAGTAAGAAACATCAGAAAGACACAAACTGATGCTTGTATTTCTTTAGGAACTCTGCTCCTACTAAAAAATCTGAAATATTGGCTAATAATGATTAACCGGCAGTACACTACTAAACTTCACTTAGCTTACCTGAACAAATCTCTTAGTCTTTTAAGAACTCATTTAAGAAAACACAAGAGAATTTGATTAAGTTATTAATGCAGCGATATCCAAAAAAGTAATGTCCACCTGGCTTTGTGGTAATGTTGTCCAGGAATTTAAATCCTCTTTTTCTCCCTCCTGCTGCTTACACCCCAATGCTTTTGCAGGGGACATGCTTCAGATCTCCTCTCACCAGCTTGAAGGAAGCACATTCTTTCAGTCTTACAGGTTTGTCTCTCCTATTCCTGTTATCTTTCTAAAGGATTTATCTACATTTATGCTAACTTAGAAATTTTTTTTCTTTAAAAAGAGGATCAACCAGAATTTTGCTCCACATTCTAGTAATCTAGGTAGTGCCTCACCTGTGTCAGATAAAAGGAAACCAAGGAAACTTTATTTATTTTTTTTTTGGAAATATCCTGCCTTATATACAGTAAGAATTAAAATGACCTTTTTCAGAGTTGTGCTTCCTATGTTGGTAACTCACAGTCATCCTACAATTGAATAATACATTCCAAATATACTTTCCAAATATCTTTTATCTGTTCTTTGCAACTGATGAATTTGAATAAAAATACTTGAGCTTGCCTCCTAAAAACATAAACTTGCTTGTTACAATTTAACAGTTTATTTTTTTTTTATTTTCTGCTCTTCTAATTTGATATCCATTTTTTAAGCATCTCCAGTTCACCAAATCCTGAAAAGTCATAGAAACTAAAATGGAAAAAAAAAGCAATATTTAAAATCTTACCTAACACAGGACAAAAAAGAAAACCCAGCACCACACTCAGAACAGTATTTGAATGAACCCACTAGTTTTAACAGCAAAAATAAAACAATCCACAAAATAAACAAACAAAAGAAATCCCAAACAGCCGAAACAATTATCTTTTCAGATAGGATAACAAAGGCTCCTTTAAACTGAGGATTGAGATATTTTAAATATCAGAGATTTCAGAGAAGAATTCTCTGTTACATTCAGTAGCTATGACTGGGGAGTGAGGGGAGATTTTTCATGGAAATCATTAACAACAGTTAAGGCAATTAAATTAAAGTTGAAACAACAGTGTCAGGAACCTCAAAAAGAAAAAACAGAAAGATGGAAGTACTAAAAAAAATCAGACACTAGAGAAGATCAGGCAAGAGATACAGTGAGCAGGTGATAAACAAAGGAAAAAAAACAATTACAAGAAATGCTTTCCTTTGGGGTGGGAATTTTATAGAACACCCTCGCAGACACCCTGCTTTCAGCACACAACGGGGCTGTTGAAACCCAGCAGCCTGTGTCAGCCGCGCGCCCTTCGCTCCCCGCGCCGCTTCCCCCGCACTGGAGCGAGAACAGGCTTCCAGCAGGGCCGGGGATGCTGCGGGAAGGGGCAAGCGGGAGAGTCGGCAGCTAAAATTCCTGAAAGGCGAAGAGTGACCCGGAGTGATTAGCGATACGGCCCAACGGCACAGCACACCCGCTCCCAATTACACTGAGTGCTGCAACCACGCAAGCATTTTCACCTCAAAGACCACGTTGCAGTGGTTACTGCTTTTCAAACAAATAGTGATGACTGGTGGATAACTTCAGTTTAAAATAAGAGTCTGCAACACTGAACACAAGTCCCAGGGTACTGCGGCAGCCTTTTAACAGCCCAGTTTTTCCTGGCTAGGAGAGGACTGATGAAAAGGCCAGGCATGGAGTCAATTAAAATAGTGCCAAAGTGGTTTTAAAAAAGAAAAGGTTAGACACTCCAAAGACTTAGCAGTTGAGAGTTTATTGGGTCATTCTTTTTCCTTGTGGTAGAAGCACAGTTTTCATTACGGCTGAAACAGATTCAAGAAGAAAACACAAGAGATACTTTAATGCTTAGGAAATCAACATATCTGGCATCCCAACACACCAAATAGCTACGTCAGGATGTTCTGCCCCTATGTTCTTCCTAAAGGATGCAGAGGCCTCTGCGTCCCACAGTGTCTCGCAACACATTCACGCTCCTTCCTTGGGTCTCCCCAGCACGGAGGATCCGCGGCAAAGGCCACAGCCGCACAGGTCAGCAGCTCACCTCATCCTTGGGCTCCGTGACGCTGGTCAAGCAGCAGGAGGAGGGACTCAGAAACGAAGAGCACACAGACCGGGGGTTAATACTGTTTCTTAAAAGGAAATGTCCTTGTTCTGGACAGAGAACAGTTCCATTCTGAGATCCTCAAGGGCTGGCACATGTCTACATTTCATCCAAGCAGCAGGATGCAGCAGTCCAAACCTGCTCCCCAGAGTAAATGGCAGTACCTG